AAAGTTTGATGAAGAAGGGATGGGTTCAAAAGAGCCTAAGCCCTTGTGTTGTGCCCATTCTTTTAGTTCCAAAGAAGGATGGAACTTGGAGAATGTGCATAGATTGTAGAGCTATTAATAATATTACTATTAAGTATAGGCATCCAATCCCTAGACTAGATGATATGCTAGATGAGTTGCATGGAGCACTCATATTTTCTAAAATTGATCTTAAGAGTGGTTATCACCAAATAAGTATTAAAGAAGGAGATGAATGGAAAACCGTTTTTAAGACCAAGTTTGGATTGTATTAGTGGTTAGTCATGCCTTTTGGCTTGACCAATGCTCCTATCACATTTATGAGGTTAATGAACCATGTCTTAAGGTATTGTATAGGTAGGTTTGTAGTTGTTTATTTTGATGATATCCTAATCTATAATAAAAGCCTTAAAGACCATTTAGAACACCTTAGAAATTTCTTGCTCATTCTTAGGGACAACCATCTCTATGCTAACTTAGAGAAGTGCACCTTTTGCCAAGAAGATGTGAACTTCTTAGGTTTTATAGTTGGCAAAGAAGGGGTTAAGGTTGACCCGAAAAAGTTAAGGCCATTCAAGAGTGGCCTACCCCTAAGAATGTGGGAGACATTAGGAGCTTTCATGTCTTAGCAAGCTTCTATAGGAGGTTTGTTAAGGACTTCTCCACCATTGCATCTCCTCTTAATGACTTGGTCAAGAAGGATATGCCTTTTATATAGGGCGAGAAGCAAGAAGAGTCTTTTCATAATTTAAAAGACCAACTCACACATGCACCCATTTTAGCTCTTCCAAACTTTTCTCAAACTTTTGAGCTAGAATGTGATGCAAGTGGCATAAGCATAGGTGCGGTTTTACTTCAAGGTGGCCACCCCATAGCATATTTTAGTGAAAAACTTAGTGGTCCCACCTTGAATTATCCCACTTATGAAAAAGAGCTATATTCTCTCATAAGGGCCCTCAAAACTTGGGAACAATACTTAGTGACTAAAGATTTCATCATACATACCGATCATGAGTCACTAAGTATTTGAGGGGCCAAGGTAAGTTAAACAAAAGGCATGCTAAGTGGGTAGAATATTTAGAGCAATTTCCAAATGTTATTAAATATAAGAAAGGGAAAAGTAATGTGGTGGTCGATGCACTTTCTAGAAAATACGCATTACTTACTACTTTGAGTTCCCAAATTCTTGGATTTGATAACATTAGGGAATTGTATGAAAAGGATCTAGATTTTCAATTCACTTATGAACAATGTCTTAAAAAGGCCTTTGATGGATTCTACATTGATGATGGGTATTTGTTTAAAATGGGAAAAGTATGCATACCCAAAGGATCCATTCGAAAGCTTTTAACTAAAGAAAGTCATGAAGGAGGTCTCATGGGCCATTTTAGAGTTGACAAAACTCTAAGTTTTATAAAAGAAAGATTTTATTGGCCACACATGAGAGTAGATGTCCAAAGGTATTGTTCAAAATGCATAGCTTGTTTACAAGCTAAATCTAAAGTTATGCCTCATGGACTCTACACACCTGTACCTATAGCTAGCACTCCTTGGGTTGACATAAGCATGGATTTTGTACTTGGTCTTCCAAGAACCCAAAGGGGTCATGATTCTATTTTTGTGGTAGTAGACCGATTTTCAAAGATGGCTCACTTTATTCCATGCTACAAAGTAGAAGATGCTAGCCATATCTCAAGACTCTTCTTTAGAGAAGTTGTTAGGTTACATGGAATTCCTAAAACAATAGTTTCGGATAGGGATGTTAAGTTCCTTAGTCACTTTTGGAAAACACTTTGGGAAAGACTAGGAACTCAACTTCTATTTTCTACTACTTGTCACCCACAAACTGATGGGCAAACAGAAGTAGTAAATAGATCTTTATCTACACTATTGAGGGTAATTTTGAAGAACAACAAGAAGTCTTGGGATGAAAATCTTCCTCACATTGAATTTGCATACAATAGGGTAGTTCACAAGACTACCAATCTTTCTCCTTTTGAGGTTGTTTATGGTTTTAAACCTATAAATAATTTTGATATACTTAATTTGACTAGTCATTATTATTATTTACATAAAGAAGGAGTTTCTAAGGCTGATTTTATAAAGAAACTTCATGAGAAGGTTAGAGGCCAAATTGAAAAACAAACTCAAAAATATGTTGAATACAACAACAAAAGGAGAAAGAAACTTATTTTTGAGGAAGGAGACTTATTTTGGCTTCATTTACGAAAAGAAAGATTTCCTACTCAAAGGAAGGAAGTCCAAACTAAGTCCAAGAGGAGATGGTCCATTCAAAGTCCTCCAAAGGATAAATGATAATGCTTATAAGTGAGATTTACCTTTTGATTATGGTGTTAGTAATACATTTAATGTTTGTGATCTTATGGCTTTTTTAGGTGATGCTAACACTGATGATGAGATAGTAGAGGACAGATCCTTCTCAAGAAGGAGGGTATGATGGAGGACCATTAAAGGAGGATGCACACATGAAGGCCATTGGACCTTTGACTATGTCCATGGTTAGGAAGCTAGAGAAGGCTTTAACAGAGGAGGTGCTTCTTAGACCTTTGCTCTTCACGAGCATTGAGTATGATTCCTCTTATTAGTCTCTTGAGTTTCCATTGTACATACATTGTATAGTTTGTTTTCTTGTACCTTGTATATAGTAGATACTTGTATATGTGTATTTTGCCTTTGTATTTGAGAGGCACTTTATTTCCTTTTTAGTAGCTATTGTATATTGTTTCAAGGGTAGGTTACTTGGGCACTTTGACTCCATTTAACCTAATCTAGAAATACACTCTTTTATTATTTTTCTAGTAGTAGGATTGGGAGTGACATTAGCAAGCTAGAGAGTGTGACTAGCAAGCTAGAGAGTGTTACTAGCAATTGGACCAAGAGATGGACCTAGGCTAAATTTTTCATATTAGACTCATTTTACTCCTAATTTTTTATAGATTTGATTTAGCTAGGTTCCATTCACATTAGATGAACCTAGCTAAACCAAATCAACATTTTTCAAAACCAGTTGGAGTAAAATAAAGTCCATGGCCGCCCACCTTGTCTTGTGTTCACATGGTCGGTTTTCTCTCAAGCTTAGAAGCTTGAAACACAAGCTTCTCCTTAGCTTGCTTACCAAGCAAGCTAAGTGAGTAGCTTGCTCTCCAAGCCTCTAGACCATGGACGGTTAGCTAGACCTTACCATGGTTCTTAGTGAACCATGGTTAAGGCTAGCTTGCTCTCCAAGCTTCCTACTCCTATATACTTGTTTTCCTTTCATTGTGAGACACTTTTTGAGATATTGAGAATTATTTTCTGAAGATTACTCAGATTTCTCTCTTCTAAAAGTCCCTAAACCTCTTTGATATTCATTCAATTCTCTTATCCCTTCATTAGAAAAGTGTGGTGAGAATTGAAGAGACTTATCTCTTCATCAAGGAGTGGCGTCTCTTGGGAGAGTTCTCCACCAAACTGTGGTGGCTCTAAGGTCTCTTCCTCCATTGGAGACCTTAGGAAAGTTAAGAAGAATTAAGGAGCCGAAGATCTAGAGAAGAACTTGAAGAGGATTCAACATCAATCCGGATTCTCCAACAAGTGTCCATCACTCCTTTAAACTAAGTAGTGTTGCTTAGTTTACTTCTAGTAATTGGCACACTCCAAGTAAGCCTCTAAGCTTCTGAAACTGGTCCAACTAGAGAGGTTTAGTTAAAATATTTGCAATTTGTTCTTGTGATCCACAATGAACTAGACGAATTGTTCCTTCATTAGACAAATCCCTTAAAAAATGAAATTGAACTCCGATATGCTCACTCTTTCTGTGCAACACTAGATTTTTGGACAATTTGATTGTTGAGCTATTATCACAAAAAATGGTTGTACATTCATCACCATCACAACCTAGCCTCGTAAGAACAACCTTCATCCACATTGCTTGACATGCACATGCCGCAGTTGCTACGTATTCCACTTCCGTTGTTGATAAAGTCACAATTGGAATTTAAACGAGACCAAGGAGAATGAACAATTTACCTTAAATCTCATTAACATAAAAATTATTAGAATAAAATTAAATTTATTTAATTCATTATTACATTAATTTTAATGCATTTTCTCTTGTCACTTAACCAACTTTTTTTTATCCAACATAATATAGAAACCATGAATAAAATTAACGTCTAAAATTATTTTTAAGCTTTATTTTTATTCCTTATTTATTATCTTTTCATGTATGTAAGTTATTGAAGGTTTTTCTTTATCTATGTAAATTTAAGTTTACTTTTATACATCGATATTTATATGTAAATTTATTAATATGAAAAATGCATATAAAATAAAAGTCATTGGAATGACTATGTTTTTCTTATATCAAATCAAGTTAGGCAATTTCCACTTCGCTCGTGGAATAAACAATTTACCTAAAACTACATTAAGGTCTTGATGCATAATTTATTATTTAATTTTTTCTTTTTTGGTAAATACTTATTATACAATTTGCTAGTAACTTACAATTTTATTTTTGGGACCAAGTATCTTTCAAATTTCAACAGTAAACTTCCGCATTTTGTATTTATGTTATTTTCACATTTAGGATACATTTTGTATTTACAATTACAATTAAAATATATTTTTTCTAAAAACTAGTGACCCTCATCCTTCTATACTTTTAACGATTTGATTCTTTAAAAATTTAAAGCAATACTTATAAATACTTCTAATATATTCACAAGAAAGTGTAAATATCACCCTGGAACGAACGACTCAACAAACTAGTGGATTTATTTTGGCGTTTAGAATCTCTAAAGGTGAGTTAAATTTAAAGTTCCAAGATTCATGAGTTGATTTCAACGTACATTAGAACATGTACTAACTTTTAAACAAACTAGGTGTGCTAACTTTAAAACAAACACACCTAGTGATTTCCTATTCCATTATTATGGCCGGCCTAATGGTAGATGAATTTGCTACTATGCATGCCTCGATAAAATGTAAATATTTGGCAAGTCATTATCTAAATTTGAAATCTTGGACATTATTTACTAAAACAAAAATAGAAATTATAAATCATTATCAGCATAAATTACTGAAGGAAAGTCTTGGCACAAAAATTAGAGTTGCTGCCGTGTGACTAGGAGGAGGTCACAGATTTGAGTACGGAATTTCTAAAGACAGCTTCCGTGTCTAGTTCCTGAAGAAATTATGCTTCTACGTCTCACACCCACAAGCAGAAAAATGCAAAGAAAAAAAAAACATGATCAACCTTAAAATTAAGATTTGGCATAGTTGGTGGTCTATTGATGTAAGATACTTATCCAATGTTGATTCATGACATATCAACGTTCCATATGATATCAATCACATCATCAAAATATTAACGGCCTTGTTTCTTTTCCTCCTTTTCGATCTTTTTCCTATGATTTCAACAATGGAAAACAAATTAAAAATTAGCTGTTAGTAAAGTAACTTACCAATTACTATAATCATATACTAGCACTTCATTCTCTTTTGATATTTTGTGGCCTTCCACAAGCAAGAACAAAGCCTAATGATGCAACCAATGCCACCAGGTAACCCGCTATAGCACCATAGCTCACAGAAATAGGCCATTCCTACAAAATAAGATGAAATATATGACCTTAGCACTAGAAAACAACACACCGAATGAACTATATCATAAGAAAATCAATTAGACAAGCATTCAATCAATTTATACCATTATAACAATCTTACAGGTTTAGGGTTTGGAAAACAATTTGTCTTTCAGAAAGATAAACAATGTCAAACAGAAAGCAGATGAATCTGGATATCTTAAACTTCAAACTTTCCATATTCTAGATTTATGCATGATATCCATCTTTCTGTTAGTAGTCTAGATCAAAGATAAAATCAAAATAGAATTAAAAAATGAAAAAGAAAAATTTCTCAGAGGGCTAGACAGCTGTTGTCTGTTTCGCTAATGAAAATTTTTCCCTTTTCAAAACAAAATTAGATAGCATGGTATGAACTAAGAAGGGTGGTGTGGCCTTCAGAAACATTTGATCATAAACTCTAGAAGGAATATAATTCATTCAATCACGAGCAGTGATTAATAGACAAGTAAAATAAGATTGATTAATTGCATATAATAACTAGTGATGAGATTGTGTACATAGGCTTGTGAAATAACATGACTCTGATAAGAACTGCTCTTCCTATTTGCTCCCAATAATAGTCAATGAATTCAAAGACAAATGACTAGAAACGGGAAATTGATTACCTGCCATGGCCTCTCCCAGTCAAGTGGCATTGGCCAGGCCCCAAACCATGCCCCAATAACTGCTCCATGAGCTGGTAAACAAAGAAGGTACTCTATCGATCCATTTGGCCTAAAAGTTTTACAAGAATAACAAAAATATAAACAGACAGCACTATCAAAAAAGTAGTGCAACTGACATACAGCATTAACTATATTCTCCAGAATCCCAATTAAAAAAACTTTACATACGCAAACATGGTAAGAATTAAGAAAATATTAGCTAGAAGGAACATACTTGGTTTGTGCAAATATACGTCGCCAGTCAGCCCATGATGAACCAAGAACACATGACGCTGGAACTGTCTGCAATAGCACAAGATATGCATTTATAGAAGTACACATAAACATGGGGCCACAGTTTAAAATACATGTCTATCCCAATCCACAACAGAAGTTGTAAACGTGTAATTCATCTGAAAATTAATTTCACAGCTTGAAAATATATCTGGACGAGATCATAATGATTGAAACTGATGTTTAAACTTTGAATTGATATTCATGAGAATTGCTTTCTCGGCCAAATAAAAGTTCCGAATCAGTGTCCGAATATATAAAATATTCATATTTTTTAATAAATTTATTATAAAATAATTATTTAATTTAAATTTTATAATTTCAATTTTTTTTTTTAAGTTTCAGAATATGTTTCAGAACATATTTCGTGTAGAATTTTTCATCGTAAGTATGAAATTATAATGATAAAACTCACTGACTTTCACTTTAATATATACTGACTGGCTCTCATGTCATGCTTTACTAAGGAGAGATAAATAGGAGCAAAGACAGAAACAAGGGCTAAAATCTGGAACCTTCCACAATCACATCAAATGTATGTTGTACATGATAAAGGATAACAAGTAGCCACTGGAAAATGGTTGAAAAGATTAAGCTAATGCCCTATGAGTACACAAGTTATCAAACAGACATAAACTGCAAAACATCTGTTTTTAACTTCCTTTTAGTACTAGTAATTATAGTTGAAACTAATAAAACAGATTTTCATAAATGATCCATTTTTTTTTTCAAACAATAAAACAAGGAAAACGATATCCAGACAGAAGGATGCAAAGTATCACGAGTCGGTATATATTTTTATGTTGATCTGTGGAAATCGAACATGGTACCAATCAAAAACACCAAAACAATCTCCAAGAAGCTGTAACTGTAAGTAAGAGAACAGCAAAGAACTCAACTCACCGTGAACATCGACATCATAAGAGCCCAGTTTACGGTCTTGGGAAGATACCTGCCTCAAGTAAATTTGCAAAGTCACAACATGCTCTAGTTATTGGCAGAGATCTTCAAAGTCGAAACTGAAAAGCCATATTTCATTTAGATTTAAATTTAAATTTAAATGCATAATAGTTGAAGAAGCTAAACAATGCTCCCAAGAAAAAACACTGTACTGCATAAACAACTTATTTCACATACTGCAATGTAACAGGGGCCCCCAAAGCAACAGCTCCTAAAAAATTCAATAGTGCCCCTGCAGAGCAAAAACATTAGTATTAAACAAAATTAATTTTTCATAAAGCAGTTTCCTTAGTAAAATTAAAATTTTCACCCTCATTTTTAACCACATACCCTCATTTATCATTTTTCATCCCAATGAAGAAAAAAGAAAGGAATTTTAAACTCACCTACAGGAACCCCAAGAACACCTCTTCCAACAGCTCCCAGGTACTGCAGAGAATAGAGGTCACACGAAAACAGAACACGACACAAACTTAGAACCCCCACAGAAATGGAAGAATTGTTCGGTTTCTGAGAAATTGAGGAAGACAAATTACCGTGCATCGCTGGCGATTTCGTCGATAGCGACTGTAAAGAAGGGTCACAATCGGGAGCTCTGTAATCTAAACGACGTCGCAGAACGTGAAAATGAGAAAGAAGCAGAGAACAATGAAAAGGGTTAAAAGGTAAATTGAGGGTACCCAGATGAAGAAGAGTGTGAGAGAAGGATCGGTAACGAGGTTGATGGAGTAGAGAGAGTTCGCAACCCAGAAGGCGAAGACCAAGACGAGCACGCATAACGTGTTGACTATGAAAGCCTCTGAAGCTGAGATTGGGGGCGAGGGTACCATGGTTGAGGCTTTCCACGTCGTTTTCTCGCTGCTTTTCCGGCGATCCATGGAGGAGGATCTCCGCAACTCGAAATTTCGAATAGAATAGAGACAGGGAAATTGGAGAAGATATCGCGGTTGCAAATGGGCTTGGCCCAATCAGAACTTGTGCAAAAGATGTTGGGTTTTGGTTGGGAAAGTTTAAGCATGATGATATATACTATACACTTCCTATCTTTTTATAAATACACTTCCAATCTCTTTTTTGAAAATAAAATTTTTAAAATATTTTTTTAACTAAATTTTTATTTTAAATTTATTTTTTATTCATTCTCTTCTTTTATTATTCTTTTTTTCTTTTTTTTTTTCATTATTTTTTTTCATCATTTTAGTCATTTTTTTATGATTTTATTCTTCATTTTTATTCTTGATTTTTCTTCTTTTATAATCAACACAATCATATTTTATCTTTCTATCTTTTAAATTTTATTTTTTACTTTCTACTCTATTCTTTCTTAAACCCTAATTTTTCATTCAATCTTCATTATTATCTACATTCAATACAAAGTACAAATTAATATATTAAATTATATTTTATATTATAATTTTTTTTAACTTATTTAACATTATTTATGTACAACAAGATCGTAGACGACAGTGGTGGATGAGGAGATACAAAAACACGTAAATTAAATTTGTCATACTGAAAAATAAGATTCAAAATTTAATTTTAGGATTCCGGAAAGTACTTTCCGGAATAGTAAAATTATTGTTTTAGAAAGCATTTTCCGGAAGTGTGTTTCTTATATAATTCCGGAAAGAACTTTCCGGAACAATAACTTTAGTATTCTGGAAAGTACTTTCCGGAATTATGTAATAAAACATTTCTGAAAAATACTTTCCAGAATAAGAATTTACTATCATAGAAAGTATTTTCTGGAATAAAAACTTTATTATTCCGAAAAGTAATTTTCAGAACAAAAATTTTACTATTCCGGAAAGTACTTTCCATAATAAAATCTTCTTATTATTCCTTTTTCGATCATATCCACAAACCTGCTTATATATTATTTTCTAAAATACTATATTTTTATTTTTAGTACAATTATTATATTTTTATCTCTCATTATAGTTTATTTATTTTATAATTTTATTTTTATTTGCATGTGCACATGAAATACATGTTAGGAAAGTGTTTGAGGTGAGGAATTTATCAACCAATGGAACAACAAATAAGACTATTGACTGTAGTGGTGTATTTAACACTAAAGAGGTAATTGAACAATCAATTATTTAATATATAATAATAATAATAATAATAATAGTAATAATAATAATAATAATAATTGTATTTCTATTTATATGTTTAGGTTTTTCCATCTCGAGACGCTATGTTGGATTGGGCACGACATATTGCAAAAGAAAGTGGATTTGTCCTTATTATTTTTAGGTTAGATACTGATAGCAAACCTAGGAGAAGTGATGGATGATCTTCT